GGTTACCCACACCACACAATTCAGATGTCAGAGAAGGTCTATAGTAAAGATAAGTCACCAAACTGCTACCAGAGAAAAAAGAGAGAAAGTGAATGAAAAAGAAAAGTGTACAGAGAGGAGACACACACATACGCACACACATACAGACAGAGAGAAAGACAGAGACAGAGAGAGACAGAGAGAGAGAGACAGAGAGAGACACAGAGAGACAGAGACAGAGAGAGAGAGCTTCTACAGCTGACCTGTTTGGCCAAGTACTGCTGTAGAAGTGTAGGTATGTAGTTTGCCACTTTTGACTTTATCTATTATAACATCATTGTTTCCAGGCATAATACTTTCCTAAATGGATAAATTGGTGCTTATGTGAAGCTAGTCCTGTTGTCTTTTACCTTTGGCTTGTTTTCTTTTGCCTATCTTGGATTACCGGGTATTCTCCTAGATGAAGAGCCATTAATTACCCATTCAGTCAATATTAGGAAGACGACAAAGCTTTTTACATAGGATTAAGAAGACATCAGATTGCTCCATTAGTATATTCCTGCTCACGAATAAGCTTTTGTTATACATTTAGTTTTCCCTGGAGTCAGTCTGACAACTCTTGCATATATTAACGGTAGGCTATACAAAATAATAACCCAACAATAAGAAACTTTTAATTTGCATCATTTTTTCTCTTTATTGGAAAAAAATGGGAATGGAGGTCCTCTTAATCATTTGATATTGTTAGAAACAACCAACAATTACACCAGTCAGGAAAAACCCCCAACAACATTAAGTTGCACAGAATTCCAATAAAACAAAGATTTTTGAAAAAGAAAAAAAAATACCTCTTTTGCCTCTATAATCACGTGAATGGTTGGTCTCATCCCAGGTACCCATTTCCCCTCACGTCTTTTTCTTCCCTCTCTCCCTAAGTCCCTTTACTTTTAGACACTCTCATCTCCTGTCTTTTCTTCTCTTCTCTTGGTAGGGATAAAAACCTCTCCATTCTGTAGGCCCTCTCTTGCCATTCAGTTTTCCAGGTACCTACATTAGCAAGATTCAGGGCAGTTTTTTCAAGCTTAGTTAAGAAACACATATATGTTCAGCTTCCACTTCATTTTTAGCATTAAATTTTTCTTGGTGGTTAGTAACCTGAGACTACACAGAATGGCTAAATAATTACCAATTTCAATGTTAGAGATTAAAACAATTTCATATTATTTTGAGACTAAGAGATATTAAAAGGACTTTGGTGGATCATGGGTCTGGGCTTAAAACTGAAAAGGTAGGACATAAAAAAATGTATTTTGAAAACCTTGGTGGAAGGTTACATTCTGTTTAAGGTTTGTAGAGATTGATGGAACTATATAGGAGATCTCTCTGCTAATGGATTCAGTGATTCCTCCAGGTGCAACAGGGAAAGGAGATGAGAAAAGATGCCTGAGTTGAAAGTTCAGAATACATTATTGGCAAGATTACTGGTTAGATAGTATTTCAAAATGAACTACAATGAGTTATAATAACACTCTTTGGGTTACCAGTGCACAGATGACTTTTTTGCTTGTTTTAAAACTGATTCTGGCAGTGACGTTGCTGCTGATCAGGTCTACAAACTAATTTCCTGAATAAATCACTGCTCCTAGGCTAGATAAAGGCCCAAGGGTATGAGAAGCCCATTGGCTCTGCAGTTTAAAAGGCTGGATGGCTAAACAGTTCCCTGGTTGCTTCAGGAGTCCCCAGAGCCATTCAGGATTGCTGGAAATTTCAGTTCTAACTGAAATCCATGCTGGTGGTACTTTGCCTAGTGATGATGAATGAAGGTTGGAATTTTGCGCTGGAAATATTTTAAAGTCATAGAGTCTTAAAGATGGAAGAGATGTCAGAGATGATCAAGTCCACCTGCTCATTTTAAAAATGAGCAAACAGAAGTGATATGATTTGCCCAAGGTCACCCAGGTGGAAGAGATAGGACGTAGAATGCAGTGCTCCTGATCTAAATTTCCAATGATCTTCCCAGAACCTTGCATACTTACTTTTGTCAACTCTCCTTTCGAATCCTAATGCTTCCTTTTCTTTAGTAGCCTCTCAAAAGGAAATCACAGGCTATGAGATTTTATAACTGCACTCATGTAACTTCATGCTTTCTCTACAAATTTTGGGCAGATGGACATAGACCAGGGACGAAGATCCATTCATACCCTCATCACTTATTGTCTTAATATTTTACTGAGCATGAAAATTATAGTAGGAGAGAGAGAGAGAGAGAGAGAGAGAGAGAGAGAGAGAGAGAGAGAGAGAGAGAGAGAGAGAGAGAGAGAGAGAGAGAGAGAGAGAGAGAGAGAGACTTTTAATTTTGACCTGTCCTTCAGCACAAGTTACTGAGGAGGTAATTACTCCATGTGGAATAATCAAGATACTTGAGAGTATGCCGACTTTGAATTTTTGATGTTTAGTTCCCTGAGGACAATTTCCAAAAACCCTAACAGAAGAGTAAACTTTGTTAAAAGTGGTATATTTCATTTCATCACACGCTCTAGCAAATGAGCTAAAGTGAGCTAATGATTTCTATTTCTTTTCTTTTAAAAATAAGGGGTTCTAAGGCATGAAGACACTCCTAAAGTTATTTATTCTCAATAAAAGTCCTGTGGAAAGATTCTTTCAGGGATCATATAGCTGAAACCATGACATATATAGTCAATAAATATTTATTAAGCACCTACCATGTGCTGGGCACTGTGCTAACTGCTTAAGATACAAGGAAATAATCTCCCAGAAACTAATTAAAACAACAACAACAACAACAACAACAGCAATTTAAGGCTTTCAGATGCTTTCAATAACATGCCTCTTTTTAATTAATGACTAAATAAGTTTGGTTAACAATTTCCCTTGTCCAAAGTGAGATCCAAACAAAATCACATATAATATCCTAGCCTTTTAATTAATGGCTACACTCCACTCCCATTTGTTTCTTTACAAGGAAAGTAAACGTCAGCATGTCAGGTGTTATGTATGGGTATTAATTTTATGAATCCCTACCAGAATACTGTAGGTGTGGAAGTGCTCACAAAATTTATCCTGGGGAGGAGTGGGTCCCTCTTAGCAGGGTTCCTATTTTCTCTAGGCTCTGATGAAGACCACCTGTTCATAGAAACCTTTTGGAGAAAGTGGGAAGGTGATGGCAGTAGGGAGGGGAGGGTTTGTTGTCCTTTTATCACAAAGACACAGAGAGAGAGAGAAATGTAATTCAATAACCCCCCCTCCAATATTCCTATGATTAATTTTTTTTGTAGAGGTTTTCCTCTACAAACATGCTACTCAAAGCACAGTCGGAGCTGTAACGTATTTCTCATCTGGCAGGAACGGAGGCAGTTTACCCCAGAAACACACACACACACACACACACACAGACACACACACTCACACACAGACACACACACACTTTCACGGAGAGTGATTTCTGCTCTTGATTTTTAACCATATCCCAAACACACTCTGGTCTAATAATTTATTTTTATGACCGATTATCAAACAGAAGAAGAATTTAACACAATCTTAATGACAGAAATCACTCAGTGTTATCTTTGCATTGCCCCTATCTAACCCAATGGGGTTAATCCTATACACTTTGCAAGTCAGTGTTTAACTGGCCGAGTGGAGATACCTGCTACATTGTCTCAGCTTAAAGTTCCTTCTCCTTCATTCCATGATGTGTCCCCTTGCTTATATTAGTAGTATTTTAAAATTAAACTTTCCATGGATTAAATGGAACGCTGGAAAATGTGACGTGTGCTTTCTTTTCAAGAATACTGTTTATTTGCACTGTTTATTTCTTATCCTCCAGAATATTCATAGATTTAAACTTTAATCCGGAAAAAGGGAATTAGGGAGTACGAAGCGACGGGGTTTCTATCTCTTCGTACTATCAAAGAAGCACAGTTTCATATCCTCTTAAGCTTAGTGTGGCGCCTGGAAAATCCAGAGAATAGAACACAACTAACTAGGTTTAGATTTTTAACCTTTACATCGAAGGGAGGATTTTCCCTCCCTCAGGACAAATTTCAATTTTGAAAATGCTTGTTTGATGGGTGGAGACAGTTTTTTTTTCTTTTACACACACGCCTGACAGCTCTTCAAATGAAATACACCCTCGACCCCCCAGAATACAGGCGGGGAAGAGATTCCACCCAGCTTCTATGAAAAAAGTACTAACCACTTGTAGGATTGGCTAAATCACCCGCATAGCTTATTTCTGGTTCCCAGTATGGGATCCCACACTAAATGCTGGTACCAGCATTTCGCCCCTTTCTAACTACAGCACAAGCATCATCGACATCGCCATCATTCTAAAGACCGGGGGGAAAAAAGTGACGCATTTGAAGCATGCAGACTCAGTATTCGACCACAACAAAAATTAGACAAAAGTTCAAAACTGACTCTGCCTTCCAGGATTTAACAGAGCGGCCTGTTCAGGCTCTTGTGGATGGACCCATGTAGTGAAGTCTGGTGAGCGGCAGAGGTCGCTATTGGATCACTTTTTACCCCATTTCTCTTAAGGTAGCCAAGAAAGGTAGGGATGTTCATGGTAGAGTCAGAAAATAGGAAGGCGGTGGAGAGAGAGAGGGAGAGAGGGAGACAGGGAGAGCGAGGGGAGAGAGAGAGAGAGAGAGAGAGAGAGAGAGAGAGAGAGAGAGAGAGAGAGAGAGAGAGAGAGAGAGAGAGAGAGAGAGAGAGAGAGAGAGAGAGAGAGAAGGAGAGAGTGTGTTAGGGGGAAAGGTTTTTTTTTTTTCTTCCATGCAACCGTATGTGCGTTAATCTGAAGTTTAACAAAGAAAGCGAAGCATTTCTGCGCTACTAGTCCCACCCTGGTACGTTCTGGGGCAGGGGAATCGAAGGGCCAATGCTGCATCCTCGCCTAGTTTCCCGGCCTTGGAGGCGGACGCCCCCGGGGATGGGCCGATGGGGAGGGCGCTCAGGAGGCCTGGCCAGCCCTGGCTTTGCCTGCTCCCAGGGCTTACCGTTGGCACTGGGATGCTGCCTGGCGAAGAGCTTGCTGGTTGCCACCTCTTTCCGACTCTCGGGGGAATCACTGAACTCGACCTTTTTGATTTCTGAGTCTTTGGAGAAAAGGCATTCAACGGCTGACGGCTGCACGCCTGGGGCACACATACAAGCGGGGGCACACACACAAGGACGCACGGAAATGCAGACAGAGAGGGCAGCAGAGAAGGAAGAGAAAAGGTGGAGTGAGTAGAGAGGACAGAGAAAGGGACAGAAAGCAGAGATCTAGTTAGAGAAGGCAGCCGCCGACAACCATCACCTAGTTCTCAGCAGGGTGAGGAGAAGAACTTAGACCCTTGAGCGATTGTGGCGCAATTCGTATTTCCGTATCCAAGACTTCAAATGCCCATTTCTAGGCCCATTCACCCCACCTCGAGGACCATGGTATTCTGAAAGGAGACGAGACCTTTCTCCTCCTATTCCTCCTTCCCCATACAAACCCCGAAAGGATGCAAGTGGAGATCACCAAGTTTCTCATTGCCTTTTGCTGCTCCCTAGAAATTAACCCCTCTCCCCACTGTTCCCCGTATCTCAGATAGACTGACCCTTTCTTACCTAATTGCACACAAGCCGAAACAAGTTTACGGCAGTTGGTCTCCATCACCCGTTACCTGAAAATAAGAATAAGAGGAAAGGTCTTATCAGAGCGGTCTGCGACCCAGATCCGACAAAAATGAGATACTGTCTAGGGAGATCACCGGCCTAGCTACTACAGGAGAGCCGGCGTCGAACAGACTTCTTGCTTTCGCGGGTCGGGTTAAACTCTTTGGAGTTCAAGGTCCCAGAACTTCCTTGGGTACTCAGCACCGCGCAGGCACAGTCGGCCTCCCTCCTAATAGGGACTCCCACCATCCGGGCGTGCAAAATGAGAGCTCTGCGAACTCAGGGTCACTGCAAGGACTGGCTACCGTCTAAAAATGGTCATTCATTTGCAGAAAGAAGCTAATCACACAGCCCCCAAAAGTCATAGTCCCGAGGGGGGCGGCTGAAAGGCGTGTTTGAGGACTAGCCTACCCTGGAAAGAGACAGTTATTTACAAAAATGCAAAACATGGAGGGGATCGATTCTCAGTTCCCCCTTGAACGGTCTCCCCCCCGGCCCCCCCTTCCTTGCATTTCTTCTTACACATAAAGGAATCCTGGTAGTAACACCAAGGGCTTTGGATGCTCAAGTAACTTGTGGGCTCTGGCTTCTTAATCCATCGGTATTAACTTTTCCATATTTAGCCATGCCTTACTCAGAAGATATTCACCCGGTCATTCATTTACCTTATAGCATAATTTAAGAGCTTAGAGAAGGGAGAAGGCGGTGCGAGATGGGAGTGTAGTGAAAGAGCGGCGTTTGGAGCAGAAGTAAATTTCTTGGGTGTGTTTATTGCTTTCGAAGTACTTGAAAAGAACCTCGTTAGAGATCTTTCTTCTGCTCCCCCCCCAACCCCCAGCCGGAAATTCAGGTCGTCCCTAAATCTCCAGCCACCCTGTAGAGCCAACAGAAAATTGACTGCGGCCCTTGGCGGGCTTTTTGCCACACACCAAACGGGAAAAGTGGAGAGGCGGCGAGCTACCGAGCTCAGGTACTGGTGGGTTAGAGGAGACTTTCGGTTTTTGTTAAAAATGGAAAGCAAGAAGAGGAGGAGAAGAAGAAAGCAACACATTTCTTGGGCTCTTTGGGTGTCTATCTAAGTCTGGGGAGAGAGAGAGAGAGAGAGAGAGAGAGAGAGAGAGAGAGAGAGAGAGAGAGAGAGAGAGAGAGAGAGAGAGAGAGAGAGAGAGAGAGAGAGAATACTGAATCTGCTATTTTATTTTATTTTATTTCTCCAGTTCAGCTCTGCAGTGGGGAGATAAGCCAGTGGCACCCGAGGCTTCTAGTGCCTGCTGGCATAACTCAGAACCGAGAAACAAGGCAACTCATCAGCTACAATACTGAGGCCTGCGTTTATTAACACAGACGTCCTAGACCTTCTCCTCCTCCTTTTCTACTGTTACTCTTATTCCTCCCGTCTTCTTTTTACCAAAAACCTAACACTCGGCCACCAATGGGGTCCCGTGGTTAATATTTCACTGCCCAGAGGAACCTAGCTCTCTCTCTATCTCTGCTTGTGTGTGTGTGTGTGTGTGTGTGTGTGTGTGTGTGTGTGTGTGTGTGTGTGTGTGTGTGTGCTGGGGGCGGGGATGGGTTAAGCAGGTCACCAGCCTAATGGGAAAGTTGGTTACTCCCCCGGTAGGCAAAGGTTAGATAGGGAGGCGGGAAGCCAGGCAGGCTTGCAGGCAGGGAACTGTTTTCCCTTGCTTTGCCCAGGGTGCCCGGGAGTAGCAGTTTGGCGCCTCCAGATTTAGTGATTCTGGAGTAAAATCACAGGATTAGTCCCTGATTGAGATGTCTGTTCGTGAGATATTACAAAATTCATTATCACAGCTCTCTACTAACTCGATATGAAGTAACACAGATGGGATTTTATTAGTCCAGACTTCAAATGTTTACTTATGATAATTTTAGAGGAAATTTGCATGTCATCATCATTTCGGTAATCTTTCTTTTTTTTTTTTTATTTAATGTCTGAACTGGCTGCATTATTAGCCGGTGGCCAAAGCACCGAGGGTTACAACTGCAGATAGTCGTCAGATGTTGTAGCTTTTAAAAAATTAAAACTATACTTGTAACAAATCTGAGCAGCGGAAGTCAGCAAAGAACCATACTTTTCCGAAAGCCCCTTGGTGCTTAAAACAAAAACAAAACCAAGCACAAGCAAACAAAAAACAAAACAAAACAAAGAGGCGGCAACCCAACCTACAGCCTCTAACAGGCTCAGTTCTGGGACTGAAAAAGAGGTCAAGGCATGTCTCTTAGCCCACGACTTAGTGTTCTTGTAGCCCGGAGATTTATTTTCAAGTCAGACCGAAGCCCTGGGATCTACATTTTATGCCCCATTTAATAACAGGGCCTGGTAGCAGAATTGTGACTAAATAATTTGGGGCTATATATATTTTTTAAAAGGTACTCCCAGATCTTGCTTTTGCCGGACTTGAAACCTGTCCTGTCAAGGCAAGTCTTGCATAACAAATTCACTCGCTCTACTTAACTGGTGGCCCAGGTGGCTAAATTATCTAACAAATTGAGATGGGCAACCTTTTTTTTTTTTTGGAAGGGAAGTTGTTCTCACCTCCAAAATTCGTGCCCTGATTTGCACCGTCTCAGAAAAGACAATATCTTTTGTTTTCTTTTGTGTTCAGACTCCGGGTGTTCAGCAAAATCTTAGTTTTGTCTATCTCAGTTTTAGATTTTAGGAGTCCTTGGGAATATGTTGTTCTCTCCATACTTAAGATCATATTAGCTAATACAGATACACATGCCAAAAGAAACAAATAGGCTGTCAAGAAACTACAGAAATGATTTTTGTTAATTGCCAAAAGAATAGCACAGTAGAAAGTAGAATATTAATTGAAATATAAATGAATGTCCGCTCTACTTTCTTAAGAACTGTGCTCCCTACGAGCAAGGTTACGATGAAAGATTTAAATGCTAGAAACCTAGGAGTCCCAAATATCAAATGAATGAGAGAAACCTGTCTGATTACTTAGTGATGGGTATTTATTTTGTTAATAGAAGCTCTGATTATTAACACAATACTCTAACCTTTTTTTTTAACTTAAAAAGGTTTTTCAAAGCCTATTCCTATCGTCTTCTCCTGAATGTTGTAGGACCAAGGCTCTGAACATGAAGGGAAAAAGGAATCACGAACAACTAAAAAATTATTTTCCTGAAGGAAAAATACTCATTGAATAGATGAAGTTATTTTATTCATACTGAAAAAGTAAATATTTTAATACTGGAAGTTGTGTAATCAGGTCAAAATCTTTACTCTCTTACATTTCCGCCTTCCTTTATTTCCTTCTTACTATAATTATTTGAAACTTCTAGGAAATAATATTTTATTTGATGACATTAATTTCTGATAAGTAATACATATCCTTTGATGACAAGCAAATCTTTCGAAATTAGGTAAGCGTTACTAAGAAATGTTCCAGAATTTTTGAATTTTACTATTTTTATTTCCTTATTTTGACTCCTGTCTTTCTCTCTTTAATTATTATTTCAGTTTAGGGAATCAGACAATACCTACAGAACAGAGAATGTAAAAATTACATTATATTACAATGGCTTGATTTTGAAATCATTTGGAAAGATTAAAAAAAAACCACCGCGATGAAATGGAATGGAAGCAGGGAAATATTTCTTTCCGTATTGCACAATCAACAATTTTATTCATTGAGATTTAGGAGAAAAAACACACCGCAGTGTTTGAAACTTTGTTTACAGAAGTGCACACTTTTACTTGCACAGAAGGTGAGGGAGTTGGTCAGTAGAACAGAGATAATTTGTAACCCAAAGTAATGATACACTGCCTGGCAAAAGGGCCTGTCTACCAGGTAATATTGTTAGTTAGGCCTGCTGTCTAAGTCACTAATTGCTAGTTAAGAGGAAATTTGTTTTTTTCAGAATGCAGCAGCGGGATAGGTGGTCACTTTTTTTTTTTTGCTTAAAGCCCTGAAACTTTCCGTCTATCTCTTTTATCTCTAGAATGCTAATCCCCCTGCCGCAGGATTTGTTAACTTCGAGGTAGTGTATAGATTTAGGTAGATGCATCAGTTTAAATGCCATTCATGACCTCCACTGCTATAGTACGCCACAATTCCTTGGAAAAGTGTAGTGAGTCTTCGCTTAGAAAAAGGGCTTTGCAAGATCTGTTTGCAGAGAAGAGAGACAGAAAGAGAGAGAGAGAGAGAGAGAGAGAGAGAGAGAGAGAGAGAGAGAGAGAGAGAGAGACAGAGAGAGACAGAGAGACAGAGACAGACAGAGACAGACAGAGACAGAGACAGAGACAGAGACACAGAGACAGAGACAGAGACACAGAGACAGAGAGTTGCTACAAATCACCTACAGTAGACGATTCTCTAGAGTGGAACAAATTCGCGGACTCGCATTATCTCACATCCCTGCAGGACGGATGGCCTCCACTTACCGGCTCCAAGTTGAGCTCCCTACCACGTCCTTTGCCTCCCACCGCACTGCTTGAGCAATCCGAGGTGCTGGTTTCCCAGTAAACACCAGAAACCCGGGGCCAAGAGAAATAAAAGGATCCCAAATAGAATACAAAGTTCCGAGGGAGTTGGGACTTTTCTCTCTGGGAACCGGAGATCTCCCAGCTGCTGGCTGTTTCTTTCTGCTCCTCTCCAGCTTTCTCTCTTTCTCTCTCTCTCTCCCCTACTCTTCCCCTTTCTCAGTCTCTGTATTGGGAACGACGTGACGTCAGCAGAGATTCCACCAAACTAAAACTCCACAGAGGAGCCGAGAGAGGCGAGCTAAGCCGAGAGGAGCAGAGAGAGCAGAGCAGAGAAGAGAGGGGGAGTGAAAGTAGGGGGGGGGGGGGAGAAAAGAAAAAGGGGAGGGAGGAGAGAGAAGGAGAGAGAGCTAGGAGGGATTGACAGAACTAGGGAAATAAAACAAGCAAAGGGAGAGCCAGACAGAAGTACACACGCCTACGCACACAGAGCAGAGAGAATACAGAGCGAGGAAGACAGGAGGACGGAAAAAAAGAGGCGGCGGCGCGTAGCAAGGGGGTGGTGAGGGGGGTGGAGGGGAGGAGGTAGTGGGGTGGCCTGGGGGAGGGTAAGTGGGGGGAGATAAGTAAGATTAGAAAGCCCCGATACACTACAGGAGAAATGACCGAATACACCAGATAGAGCATCTGGTAGACAGGACTGTCTTTTTTTTTTTTTTCTTTTTTTTCTTTTTTTTTTTTTGTCAGCTCAAGGGGGCAAAATCTACGGGATAAGCGAATAGAGTCGGGGAAACTCGAAGAGGTAGAACAAAAGAAAACGTGCGTGTGTGTTTGTTTGGCGTGGGTTGAGGAGAAGCGGGGGGCGGGGCAGTGAGACGTGAGACTTGACTGCAAGTATTAGCCAGCAAGGGAAAACCAAGGTAGCGGGTAAAAAACTAAAGGTGAAGCCGAGGATGGTGGAGGGAGAGTTAAAGGAGAAACAGAAGGGACAAGAGTGTAGAAGAAAAATGAGGTGTGAGAGAGAGGTGTGAGAGAGAGAGAAATAGAGAGAGAGAGGGAGAGGGAGAGAAAGAGAGAGAGAGAGAGAGAGAGAGAGAGAGAGAGAGAGAGAGAGAGAGAGAGAGAGAGAGAGAGAGACAGCTGTAATAAACCGGGGGAGGGCCGTGTCACTTTGGCCAGTTCAGTACTGTTCCCTGCTCACTAGTTCAAAGTCAACTAGGACTGGAATAGAAAATGTTTTTCACATCTTAGTGGGTAGCTTGTGTGCGTGCGTAAGTGTTCCCAGCGTGGGGGGTGGAGACGAAGAGGGGTGGCCCTGACCAATTTTAATGAAGGGATTGCGATGGACAAGGCTGAGAAGCTCATTTAAATCTAGAATTTCCTTTACTGTATGTATTCCCAACAAGTTCACCCGGGGTCACTGATATCTCATTTTTAAAAAATGACGAGGTTAAAGTGTCTACGAAAATGAAATGATATTAAATGGCAGCACTGGGCTTCTTTCTAAACTCATACTTGTTCCTAACAATAAAATAAATAAACAAATAAGCAAAGCATTATAAAGATAGAAGGGACATTTTCCTGGGTGGTGGGACGGGAGGAGAAGGGGCTTGGTGACTTTTGCCTTCCCACTAAAAAACTAATTGTATTGTTTCTCGACATCTCTGCAAGTCTAGATCAAGTCTAAATCTAGGTGTGAAGTCTTCACCCAGTCCTAGGGTTCAATATCTTTCCAATCTTGAGGGAGTAGTTTTCATTTATATTTTGGGGATGGGCCGAGAAAGAGTCCTGGGGGACGTTCGATTTCTCCAACAGGTGCTTTCTGGGCTCAACACCGCTACTCTCTGGGTCCCCCAAAGCAAAGGCTGCTTCCCATTTTTAACCCCGCCCAACACAATTCTCACCCTGTTACAATAGTTTAGTTCTCTCTCACCTCTATCAAGAATTCATTTGTCCTTCGGAATAAAATTCGTCAGATTTATATAGTTTCGAACAGATATCCGGAATTGGACTCTGTGTGTGTGTGTGTGTGTGTGTGTGTGTGTGTGTGTGTATTTTCTATTTTCAAACCTAGCTAAATCTGCGTGCAGCCAAATTCTCTTTGCACTGGATTGAAATACTGGATTCCTTATTTTGACTTGGGGCTGAGAGAGGTTACGCGTTTTCTGGAATTACCTTGTGTTTTAAATGCATTTCAGTTAGTAGTAAAAACAGACAAACAAACTTGCTCAATTTGTTTTGAGTGGTAAATCCCTTTACTTTGAAATTACTAACACTCGACAGATGGACTAATTTTATGGAAAGGTTTATCCTCTTCTGCCACGAAGACAACTGATGAGAGATCTCAATTGCTAAGCCATTGCTGACCCACCTATAACATCCATGAAAACGCAAACTTTCCTTCTACCCGGTGGAAACTCAAGGCAAACGCTAGCCTTATTCAGGGAAGAGAAATGGGGGGGGGGGGAGAACAACAAAAAACTACCAAATACCACTTCAATTTTAATTTTCCTTTTTCTCCCTATTGACTACTACGGATTCCAATTCTTGGAAACTTGTGGATGCCCAGAAAACTAATTTCTCAACCCACCCCACCAGGTAGTCACAGAAGACCTGAAAGTCCATCACGTCTAAAGCGGAATTGGCAGTATAAAATGGCTGTTTGGGTCTCTGCTTATGACTCTTAAAGTGAGATTTTCTCTGTCTTCTCTTCCCCCTTCCCAGTACCTCGGGATATCGGCTGACTCTTTTCTTTGACTCCCCCACTTTTCATTTTTATAGAGATTAAGATACTCAGCGATGACGGGCCTCACTATGAGCTTGTTGGAACAATGTGGGAACCCTTTCTAGGAAAAAGGTAGGAGCAGAGATATGCTAAGATGTAGAGACAGACCACGAGAGACAGAAAAAGGAAGCGGAGAGCTGTTGGAGAGATCCACGGATATGCTTGTGTAAATCCCCCACTTTCGTGATTCAGTGGGTTGTAGACCCTATGGGCCAGGGGCTGGAATGAAGGGGTTTATCGAAGCTTGGGTTGCCTTGGCTCCCCCTTTTTTCTGTCTGGAGTCTGTTCAGTCAGGACGCTGGCTCACCCCAATTGGGGGCTGGAGCAGGCTCCCCAGATGAGCCTGTGGGTGCTCCGCTGCCCCAGCACCCGAGCAGCTGAAGTGAGCAGCTGGTGGGAAATGCAAATGGCTCCTAGAGAAATATAAGATACAGAATGATTTTCATTCCCTCCTCGAGTGTGTGGAAGGAGCTGGACATACGCTTCACGCTCCTAATCCTTCTTTTACATTTTTAGTCATACTCCTATTAAACAACTAATTAATGCCCAGAATCACCAGGGAATACATTAGACGTGCTGCCGAGGAACAGGGGTTCTAGGGTGTCTGGAAACTATGGAGCTGATTTAATACGTGGATTTCTTCCTTCTCTTCCCCCCCCCCACTCCTCCCGCAGTAAATATTAGAGTGGGCCGTGGCGATTGTATTTGGATTTTCATTTCTTTTCCCCTCTTTCTCTCTCCCCCTTCCTTCCAGCTGAACAAACCCTATCAATCCACCACCGCCCTGTAAACAAGATTTCAGCATCAAAGGTACCAGTTACCCAGCGAGCAGATCTCGTGGTCTGGGGTTCTGCGGTAAGACACTGACATAATCTAATCCTGAATTTCAAGGATGTTACACTTTTACACAAACAAGTTGGGCCCGGATTCCCCTGTAATCCAGGATGAGAGCCCCAACCCCACAGCATTGTAAAAAAGTGCGCAAGCATATATACTTTTAGCTTTCCCAAGATTTGGAAATGTCCAGTGTTAATCTTCTCCAATAAACCAATGCTCTGGAAAGTTTTTTCCCCCCTCCACTCCGCCAGTTATCTGGGATAAACTTGAATGTGTGTGTGTGTGTGTGTGTGTGTGTGTGTGTGTGTGTGACAGAGGGAGAGAAACATTGTGGTCCTAAAGTATATCCGGTGTCGCATGAGTGTTTTGCTTATGTTCGTGTTGGCTAAAGGCATTTGGGACTTTGGGAATGGTTGTCGCTGCTGGACCTATGATCATTAACAACAACAACAACAACAATCTTTTGAAATAAAGGAGGGAACTCGTTCGAACGAGAATCCAAAGGACAAATAGATTCAATGCAGAACAACTCCCTGGACTAGGGTCCGGTGTCCAGTGCCATAGCCCCATTGCCCAATAGCCAGGATCAGGGAAAGGTACAGTATTTTTTTTTCTTTTGAGACACTCGGGGACCGGGTTCTCCACTACCATTTACTTTCTTCGTATCTGGATTATGATCTCAAACCTTGCAAGCAATTTCCCCAGCTCTGACAACAAGCGAGTATGTAAATACCAACGACTAGCGGTGTTTAAACGCTTCAAACAGTATTGATTTGTTGGCTGCTCTAAATTTGCCTTCCTGTCCAAATCTTGTTGCGGAATTGCCTATTCAGGCGTTTGATCCGTGCCTCCGACACTACAATACAATAATTGTTAACAACCAAAAAAAAAAAAAAAAGAAAAAAAAGAAAAAAGCAGCATTGAAAATGAACCGATTGATTTGCATATAAATTAAAATCACAATACGTCGCATATTCCAGTGTTTTATAATCATTTCGAAATTAGTACTTAACCACTTGAGCTAAAAGAATATATAAATGTCTGTATTGATTCACTAATGAATTACCTAATTAAAACGTCCCGGGAACGTAGGTCGCAGGAAAGATTGTTAAATCAGGGCATATTACGGTAGGGGGGACAATCCGAATCAGAGCTGAGCAGTGGCTACTCAGCCGGAGGAATCTGAACTGCATTGCTATTCTTCCATTTATTTTTGGGGCCATCTAGCACTTAGGGCTCTGCTATGAAGGCTCTAAATTCCTCCATCCCTTTTCCCGCTTAGGCATTTTCTTTCTTTCTTTCTTTCTTTCTTTCTTTCTTTCTTTCTTTCTTTCTTTCTTTCTTTCTTTCTTTCTTTCTTTCTTTCTTTCTTTCTTTCTTTCTTTCTTTCTTTCTTTCTTTCTTTTTCTTTCTTTCTTTCTTTCTTTCTTTCTTTCTTTCTTCCCCTTTTTTCTGTGTGTGTGTGTGTGTGTTTTTTTTTAAATAGGGGAAAATGAAGCTCTGTTTCCTTCGCCGGGTTTTCTGCATTGACTGCGCTCCGCAGGACCTGTGCGTTCTTTCCCCCAGGCTCGCAACCATGGCCAGAGTAGATTATCATCCGAGCTGGGATGGCCTGAGATTGGCTGCCTAGCCGATGTTCCTCTTTCACCTTCCTGAGCCAAGCCGGCAGCCAGAGCGAGAAGC